CTACACTCCTACTACCCCCTACCCCCCCACCCCCCCCCCGTCGTCTTAACTCTTCAGGCAAGACAAAGGCGCATATTTCAAACATAAAATTCTCCGGCCTATAGGAATACCACATCGAAAGCTAAGAAAAGCCAGAAAGGAGAGAACTGATACTAAAGCGGGAGGCCGAGCACAAGATAAAGCATACATTTCTCGGCCTTTTGGCTAAGATCAAACGTAGTATCTGTTCTTATCAGTTTAATATCTGATAAATGAGTCATCGACTCACACGGTATTAACTCATTTTTTTTAAGGGGAGAGTCCATTAAGGTAGCTTGCTACTTGGGCTCTCAAGCGCGCATGCATTGCACTACTGCATGGGCCTGGCGCACCCCACCAAATCTAGTCCAATTTCGGGCCTTGCTTTATTTTGCTCTAACAGTTCCAAATTTTCTTTCGACTAAAATAATTGTCAATAATCTCTACTCTTAGTTGGATAAGAATATATTTATAGTGAAAGGCCTTTAAATTGGCATTGTTGATTCTATAAATGCAATGGTTATGAAATCTTAATTCATAAGGAATTAAGATTTAACGTATGCATTGTAATACTACCATTTGATGTTTTATAATTTTTGGTTTAAAAATGCATTTTCCTACAAATTTTGATACTTTTGTTTTATAGAAAAATGACCACTACAATGTGTATAATTACTATAATTAAAAGTTGGGTTTTTTATACTTTTGACAATGAACTTAGAATAAACTAAATTTTAAATGTCAATATCATTATTGCACTATCCTGCTCTACTTTTGTTTTGGTCCAAATGGTCCTACGAAACATTCCACTGAATCTTGTTAATTGGTTTAAAATTTATCTTCTCGAAATTTCTGTTATCTTCGTATCATATTATTTGTCTGTTAAAGTTTTATACACTTCTTAAGAAATTAAGATATTTGATAGCCTTAATATTTGTCTAAACTACCTTTTATCTCCTTTAAACGCGCTGCCTAATTAACATTCCACTAATTAGAGGAATAAAGGTAAATATAGATATGAGAAAAGCTAATAAATAATATTCATTTTCTAAACGTCAAATATTTGCAACAAATTCACTTCGGCAACCCAACTAATTATTTAGGACATTGTACAAAAATTTAAATCCACCATTGAAGGACCTTGAAACTTGACACTCATAACTTGGTTTGTTTGAGTTTTTAATTGTTTTGATTTGATCTTGCATAGGTTTGTTTGAAAAGTTTGATTGGAGGTTGTAGCTAAAGTTTTAGTCAATTTGGTGAAGATTTTGTAGCAGGTTTTAGAAATTTGGGTTGAAATATAGTTGAACTAGGGAAGAAGACGAATTTGTATTGTATACCCAAATAGTATACAAATATACCATTTTGGTATCTATTATAGTTTACAATATACTGCAACAGTATATTGTAATAATCGAAGAAGAACACAGTTACCTAACAGTATACCGCTACAATATACAATATACTATAGGAGTATATAGTTATACTGCAACGGTTTACTATTATAGTATACAATATATTATTATAGTATACTGTAATAATATGCAATATACTATAACAACATGTTGTAATGATATACAATATACTATAATAGTATACTTATTACACGTAAATTCACTTGTCTTTTCCCTTAATTTGCTTTAAGTTTTTACCCAGTGTGAGGGACAAATTGAAAATGCAAAAAAAAAATATTATAGTATGATATATAATGTAACGGTATACTCTTACAATTAGATGCTTTTAGAATTTTTAAAATTTTTATTGACAACTGATATTATTTCAGTTTAATAATTGAATTAATTTTTTTTTAACTCTTTGCGTATAATTGTATACCTTGTTGGTATAGCTATATACTATACTGGTATCATATGTTAGTTAATATTTTGTTGGTTGTGTTAGCTACATTTAATTGATACACAATCTGATTTTTCTTTAGTAATAATATATAAAAAAAAATAATAAAAAATAGAGAAAATAGTAAATGAAATTAGATTATGAAGAGAAAAAGAATATAAAAAAAAGAAGTTAAATGAAATTAGAAAAGGAAAAAATAAGAAGAAAACGAGAAAAAAGAAAAGGAGAAAAGAATAAAAAGAAAAAAGAAAAGAAAAGAAGCATAGAAATAAAAAAGAATCGGAGAATAAAGAAAAAATTCCCCACAAAACCTACTATGGGTATGAAATGTAATTAGTTTATGGGTAGAAAAATAAATGGCAGACAAGGGTAAATAATTTTGTTTTTGTGAGTAACTGTATCAAAACCCCTATTTAATAAGGTCTTAACTAAACTTATACATTGAGAATTAGCAATTTTTTTTGAGATTGACAACACTACAACTATCAATGCTTTAATTTAGAGAAGTAGATTTATCAAAACACCAAACTTCAGTCATACAAGTAAATCTGCAACATGCCCTGAACCTCCTTTCCCTTCCAGAGGCGGAGCCAAAATTTGAAGTTTATAGGTTCAAATTTCTAACACTTTAAGTTACTGGATTCGAAATTAACAATTTGTACATAGTAAATGAATTTCTTAAGACAAGATTTGAATTAAAGTGACTGAATTCAGCCTAACCCGTACTACTAGTGCTAGCTCCGCCACTGCCTCCTCAACACCCTGAAGAAATATGATATTGGGGCTGTCAAATTTTGCCCAAGCCAAAATGACCCGCCCAAGGTTGGGTTAGTTATTGACCCGCCCATTTATTGAACTCAATCTATATTAACCCAACACATCTCGACCCATTTACAGTTCGGCTGATTTTTAGCCCAAATTGATCCATGAATAAGTTTTTTTGTTTGAGAAAACAACACATTAATTAATTGGGATCTTTACACAAATAGCCGTCCACATTCATTATTTACTTTTTCTAACCATATACATAATTATACACATATAATACATAAATTATGCAGATATTATACCTTCACCGGCTATTTTTAGTTTAAACGATTGGATGAGCAGCTATTTGGGTTAATTCTTCTTAATTAAAGCTTGGTAAGAGTTGGGCGGGTTAGGCTATGACCCAAATTTTAGCTTATCTTGACCAGCCCACCTCAGCCCAAGTAACTTTTGGGTGGATCATGACCCGCCCATTTATTGACTCAATTCATTTTGACCCGCCTAAAATCGGCCTAACCCGCCCATTTGATACCCCTAAGTCAAGAATAACCTGTGATCTTGGAGAAGTTGTCTGAAAGGAAATGAGCTAAGAAGCAGCAAGCAACTTGCATTAGAAATGGTACTGTCAATAACATCATTTTTCCAGGAAGCTGGAAATAGAATAACGAAAGAAGAAGGCGCGACTACGCGGGGGGATACTACATATTGACACAACTCCTGAAAGATCAAATTAATATTGCTGCAACCTAGATCTTCTTCTTGCTGAAACTGACTGCTACAAAACCTTCATATAGTCATGATCCGAAAGGATAATTTTCAAATCCATATTGTTCTTCCTCTAACATGCCTCCATCTTGATCCTGCATTACATAAGCAAATTCTTTATAATGCACCAGCACTTACCATTAAGTTATGCAGTATTAAGAAATCAAAAGTTTCCAAATTTTCCCTTTCTTTTTCTTGGTAAAGTACGTAATGGAAAAAGTCAAGGACCCATGCACGCCGTGGCGGAGCAAGGATTTTCACTAAGAGGGATCAAAATATAAAGAAGTAAACCCATCAAAGAAGCCGAAGGGTGTCAATATGTAGTATATATACATTTCAAAAAGATTAACCTAGCTACACAGCGTAATTTTTCGACGAAGGGATATCGATTGCCACCCCTTGAATACATGTGGCTCCGCCACTGCATGCACAGATTTAACTGAGGGTTTCCTGAATCCAGTCTCATCGTAGCAAAGGGGACACAGTGCAGAACCTTAATAGTGGCAGATCAAATAAGAACTTGATGAGTGTAATCCGTTGACAGACAATTAAAAAAAAAGATCTTTTTGAATTATGATGCCTAGGGTCCCCTGATAACCTGGGATTAGTGGTGAACTGGGATTTGATAGCATACAAATAAGATTTGTCAATCTAATATTTGAGGCACTAGCACGAGCAAAAATAGATGAAAAGACTATGGTTTGAAGTAATAGAGTTATTCAACTAAACAACAATAAGATACCAAGTATATTCCCACATTGTGGAATCTTGGGAGGGTAATGTGTACATAGTAGAGAGGCTGTTTCTGATAGACCCTAGGCTCAAGAAAAGAATTATTCAACAAAAAGGGAGATGAAATGAACAATGAACTCAGAAGTAGAACACAATATAAAAGGACATTGACTATAGTTTCATATAGGTATACAGGTCGATATAAGTATGCACCTGATTGACATAAGATGTAACGCCAGATGAACCCCAGGGGAAATAAGTGTTCAATCCCAAGAAGCTAAAGGAGGAGATAGCGCACAGAGCCATTTGATTCAGCCCCGCTTTTGTGGTATTGATTGTTATTGTTGGGGAGCAAAAATATGGTAATCACACCCTCTGCAGATTTCTTTCATGAGTTGGATGCAAAATTCTATCAGATCTATTTTCAGTCATTTCCAGTTTCAGATGAACATGTGATTATATGTTTATATTCTAATCCAGCTATACATTTATATAAGGAACATTACTTCCCAGAGAAAGCTTAATTCATTGCCTATCACTATTATACATAAATCTTCGACAATGCACATCAAGTAATAAGATTCACCTCTTGTTCAAATCAGTTCTCACATAACTAGTACTCCTTATTTTTTATGACACCTCGATATATCTTTCAGTTTTCAGAATCTGGGATCTTGTTTATGCTGAGTAAAAACATATTTGGAATTTTCAAAATTAAAAGAGGCATATTGGAAAAGGTAATCATACCCGTTTCATTGCACTCATTAGATCATCTAGGGAGTCGTAGCCCTGCGGACTAAAACCAACTTGTTGCTTTGTTGGCTCCAAGAGGTAGTCTTCATTTGACCTTGTCCTTGAGTCAGGGGTTAACTTTTCATTCTCAGCATGCTGTAAGAGTGCCGACGAACCTCCATTTGATCTACCAATCAGTGACATGTCCATCCTTCTGCCAAAGTTCTCATTGCTTTGGTGAATACTATGGCTTAAAGAAGCCATGTTACCACCATTGATGGGAACCTGGGAGCTTAAGTTGCCGAAAGTATTATTTGAGTTGTTGGAATAACGTTGTTTATTGTCAGCCCATGCTTGAGACGGTGCTTGGTTCATACTCTGAACAGCGCCAGCCGTACCATCACGAAATTGGATTTTTCCCCTTGAATCTTCAAAAGAAGGCGAAACTGTGGTGGTGGAAGCAAAATCAAGAGACCTGCTCAGCAAATGAGGCGGCGCAGCTGAAGAATTATCATCTCTAACACTACTTTGAGGCAAATGGCTATTAAGGAAGGCTTCGGTCAATGGGAAAGAACTCGACTGGAACTTCGATAACTGAACCGAATTTTGCCAGTTCTCGTTACATCTACCTTGGTCTAGAAAATTGGAAGAACCGTTAACACCGGTATTGAAGGAGTCCGAGCTAAATGGAGTCATGTTGATAGAGTTCCCTTGTAGTATCATATGATTATTCGAAACATTGGATAAGGAGTTATTTGTGCAACCAAGTACATCAGTTGTAAGCAGTCTCGACTCATCCAAAGGAATATGTACCGAGGACTTATTCTGTTGCAATTGATCAAGCTCCAACGATGCAGGAATTCCGTGAAATAAACTAGCATTCTGGCTAGCAGGTAGAATATTCGGATTCAATTTTGCGAAAGCGTTAACGGAGTTGTTCAAACTTTGACCATGACTAGGTTGGAGTAGCTGAGGTGTGGCCAGATTGCGAACACTCAGACCAGCAGCACTATTTAGCCTGCCAAGCATGCCCCCTGAAGTGTACGACGACAACGTAGGATGAGCATACCGTCCTGATCCAGCTAATGTTCGAAAATCTCCAAGTCCATCCAGTGAGCCCATTCGCATATAATCTTTGCCCCCTAATGCGGCAACCATGTTGGCTTGCTGGGTTGCTACTGAACTTATCCTTTTCAAGTAAAGCCTATACTTCTGTAGCACAGAAAAAAGAACTGATTAAGAACTCTAAACTTGTATTGTAACAAAGGAAATAGCGAAGAACAAGGAGCAAGACTAGTGCCTGGAGATGGCTTGCAACATTTTCCCTAGTCAGCCCATCAACATTCATTAGGTCAAGAATCCTCTTTGGGACAGCTTCTGCATCAGAAACAGGACGGAGAAATAGTGAGTTAATATCGGAATATTCATAGCAAACATTGATTAGAGAAAACTTACTAATGCTAAAGAACTCACTTTCGATGCCCAACTGATTAACAGCTGCAACAAACTTCCTGTGAAGCTCTATGGACCAAACGACACGAGCTTTCTTCTGATTTGCTGTATCTTCATTATCAGTTCCATTTTCATCAATCTCATCTTCTTCATCCTTCCTTTTCTTGTTAAGTTTTCCGTTTTGATCTGCATTACCTGTCGGTGATTGCCCTCGACCACCTTCTCCACTTCCCGGATAAGATTTGTCATGATCGTTAGACTTGCTCCGGCTCTTAGGTTCAACCTTCTTTCTTCGGATTACATGTTGCCATACATTCCTCAGCTCCTCGAGCCGCACAGGTTTCACCAAATAGTCACAAGCACCATGACTAATTCCCTTCATTACAAGTTTGGTATCGCTGTTTGCGGACAACACTGTACCAAAAAAAAGGTTCAAAAATCCAAACATTACCCCTAAAATTCCTCTACTACAAATGAAACAGAATACAATAAGATACTCAATGAAAAGAAACGGATAGATCTATAACTAAGATAAATGAAGGTATTCGACTTACTTATGACTGGAAGATCCATCTCAAGACCGACAAGTTCAAGAAGTTTAAAGCCATCCATATCAGGCATGTGAACATCACTGATTACCAAATCAAATCTATCTCTGTTCTCCCTCAACATCTTCAATGCCATTCTTGCCTGACTTGTGGTAGTTACTGTCCAAAGACAAAAGATCATCTTCTCAATAATGATGCAATTTATCAAAATATCTTAAGGAATCTCAAAACAAATCAAGAAAATCCAGGGTTAAAAAAAACTTGAAATGTTAGACAGCACATGATTCAAAAACTCCCAACAGATTTATTTTCAGGGCAAGATTTAACTAAATCTGCCGCTCAGTTGAACTACAAGGCAGTTTCATATGATCTTAAGCAACCAAATTTCACTTGAAAACAGAATTAAAAAGTACAAAATAGAGATCTTGGAATTGGACTATCTACAAAATACAAACCAAAAAGCAAAAAAAAATCATAAGGACTTCAATTTCCCTTATTGTTCTATCATTTTTGCTCTTTGTTTTATGACCCTTTTTTCCTAACTTTGATTGTTGAAAGGAACAGAGACATGAACCATGCATGGAAAAGAACAGCAAATTGAAGTCATGAAACTGTACATGACAATTTGAAAACCCCTTTTACCAGAGCAAAAATCCTTTTCTTTACACTTACATGCTCCTTTTAAAAGTTAGAAACAAGAAACAACAATCATAAAACAAGAAAAAGAGTTCTTTTTTTCAGATAAAACAATTAACCAAAAAAATCTCAGCAGCAGAAGCAGCATATACCATGATACTGGCATTTCCTGAGCAAACCATCCAAAAGCTTCAAACAAATAGGATCATCATCAACAGCAAGAACCCTCATACCAATTGGAAAATTATCATAATTTTGATAATTTCCCTTTTCACCACCCTTACTATTTCCTCTAATTTCTTCCACAGTCATTTTCTTGAACCACACACAACAAGATTGGACCCAAAACAAGATTCTTGCACCAAAAAAGTTCAAAACTTTACCACAATCTCCAACAAAACAAAAAGAGTTACTTTCTGGAATTTTTATCAAAATCCCACAAAACCAAATTGCCTGAATAAATCTAAGAAGTGAAGAAGCAACAAAAGTTCAAAACATTACTACTAGAACAATAAAAAAAAAGGTTACTTTCTTGATTTTTTACCAAAACCCCACAAATCCCAATTGCCTGAATAAATCCAAGAAGTTGAAGAAGCAAAAAAAGTTCAAAACTTTACTACTAGAACAATAAAAAAAAGGTTACTTTCTTGATTTTTACCAAAACCCCACAAATCCCAATTGCCTGAATAAATCCAAGAAGTTGAAGAAACAAGAAAAGTTCAAAACTTTACTACTAGAACAACAAAAAAAAGTGACTTTCTTGAATTTTTATCAAAACCCCAGAAAACCCAATTACCTAAATAAATCCAAGAAAGTGAAGAAGAGACCAATTTAGACAAGATTGAGACTTATGAAATGGTAGTAGTAGTAGTAAGTAAAAAAAGCTGTACGTGTGGACAATGATGGGGTAATGGCCAGAACAGAGTGATTGGTTTCAACCCAACAAATACAACAAATCATAGAAATTTTCTAGTCATCACATTTCTCTCTCTCCTCCACTATACTTTTTCTTCTTCTTCTTCTGTTTGTGTTTGTCTTTTACTTTTTTCCTATGCACCCACCCCCTATACTCTATAACCTCTTTTCTCTTTCACAAAACCATTGGTTGGTAATAAAATAGTCCTTTTTTGGTTTATGTTATACTACATGGTCACCGTTCGGTAGGAGAGATAAGAAATAATTAATTTCAAAATTAAATTTAAAATAAATTTATTTTATATTTGATTGGGACAAAATACAGTATTAATCTCGAAATTAATTATCCCGAGATTATATTGTTATTTTATTCCTATGAGAAAATAAAATAATAATCTTGAGATAACTAATATTGGAATAATTATTCCGAAATAACTTATTTTCTAACCAAACGACTCTGTAGGTATAAAAGTAAAGTTGGAAGTGCATAGTATTTTTACACTGTCAAATCACTATATACTCCAACTAAAACTCCTTATGCTATGTTAATGCATATAATTTAAATTATTTCTCAAAAAACTTTGTATTTATAGATGAATTTAAATTGTATATAATGACAAGATAAAATTCTATTTTTACACTATCAATAACCTTCAATATGTAATAATAGGTTAGTTAGTTTTCTATCGGTTTACTAGTTAATTATTTTCAAGAGATTTTAGGTACAATTATCTATAAAATAATTTAATTATATAAATATCTTTACATTATCAATGCATAAACTTAGAGCAAAGATCACTTTTAGTCTGTGTCAGAAATTATTTACATTTAGTAACTGCAAAAGCATACAAAATTTATATTTTTTTTTATATATAACATACCATATATATATTTATATATATATATATATATATATAAATATTTTTTTGTTATTATTTTAAGAGCGACCATATAGTATAATTTTCCTAAAACTTATTTTCTGTACACAGTTATGTGAAAATGAGCAATAGAGGTTTGTTTATTGTATTTTTATGGGAACCTTTTTTGTAACTTTATTCTCCCTCAGAAGCATGCATTTTTGGAAGTGAGCTTTATAGATTTTTAAGAAATGATTACATGTGACACTTTCTCTTTGTACACACTCACACTTTCAAGAAATCCTGGCCGTTCATTTGTTTGGACATTAAGTGTTCAAGAATTAATCTAAGATTAATTATTTACGAAAATTATGGCTAAGTTTTGTTGAATCTTGATTAGATTTACCTTTTAGATCAAGATTGCTAACCTGTCAATGATTACAAATCATTTTAGGTTGTAATGACTTCTTCATTATTCTAGATTTTCATTTCTCTACAGATGGACCCATTAATTTACTTAAGAAAAATTTCCTCTTATTTTGGCCATAATTGAACATCTAGGCAAAAAAATGATATTGTATAGTCGCTCTCAAAATAATAGTGAAAATTATATATATATTTCTGTATATATATACATTATTATATGTATTATACAAAAATATACAAAACTTATATACTCTTGACGAGTTATCGAATGTAAATAGTTTCAGCCGCGAGCTAAAAGTGATCTATGTGCAAAAAAAAAAAGAAAATTTAAAAATTTAAAAATTCTCATTCAGTATTGAAAATGGGTATTAATATTGTTTTCTTCTATTGCTTAGATCTATGGTAAAGTGACTATTTTTGCAAAAGGGTTGAAAATAAGAATTTTAAGGACATAATGGACAATAAGAATGGAATATTAATGAAGAATCTTGGTTAATTATTCAGGGCATTAATGCTAATGATATTCTTAGGTATTTTTCCATTTATAGAAATCATTTAAAGCCTACCATTTCTTTCTTTAGGGTTTGAATATGATAGGGTTTGAGTGATTTAAGGCTCCATTTTCTACTTTCTTGAAAATAATCAATTTTATGAAATGACTAGTTAGCCCATCAATAAAAAATAATCAGTAATAATATTAAAATTTCCAAGTACAAATGTAATTGAATAATATCAAATTAGTGGCTTGCATCAATATTTAATTACATTTTCTCACCTTAATTTGACTAAAATCTTATAAAGAGTTTATATAAATACGAAAATAATCACATAGTTATTAATTTTAATATCAAAAGTTATTCAAAAGACTGAAAGTCCATCTTAACGAGTTTGAATTTCAGTGTCCCTATAGTCTATTGCGTAATTAGGCGTTCATTTTTTTCCTTAATATCTTATTTGACTATGCAAAAAGTAATAATAATAATAATAATAATAATAATAATAATAATAATAATAATATGTTTGACAGTGATATAAATCTATTATTGGGTCTATCAATATGTTACCATGTTTTAGGGGAATTGTGTGTACAAATTTAGAAAGTTTAGACTCATTAGTAAATTGCTTATTTAGTACTTAGCATTTTGCCTTTTTATTCCAAAGGTTGAAACATAACTGTAGTTGGAATTGGAATTAGCTAAGCTAATTTGAAATTTTTCCTGTTAAGGAAACATTTACTAATTACTTTTCTATTTTAACTGGAAAACTTAGTGTAATAAATAGAGAATATATATATATATATATATATATATATATATATATATATATATATATATATATATGTATATGTATGTATATTTTCCATTTTTTAGGACTTTAAGACATTTCCTTAAATCTATTAATTAATGCAATTTTACTTTACAGTTTGCTCATCCTCAAACTATTTGAATTTCTAATTATTCTTTTCATTTTTTGAAGGCAACAGTAACTGTTCTCCTTTATTTTTTCCCCTAATTCTCTCTTGTTTTTTGAAATAACCTTCAACCCGAGTAGGTAAAAAAAAGAAGAAAAAATTAGACGTGAAAATAATGTGGTTTACACTTGCTGTTATAACGAGTATTTATTCAAAATAATGTTAGTCCTGGATAATTCTTCTCATTGTTAAAAATATTAATAAATTGCTACCAACAAGGGTTGTGGTAGAGTGACAAGTATTTTTTTCATCCATAACCAGATGTTTGAGGTTCGAATCCTGAGTATGGAATCGCCTTTATTAGGAAGCACTTTACCCTCAATGTGGGATTTCCAGTGCGAATTTGAATTTGGTCGGACTCCAATGTATATACCGAACTGGGTGAAAAAACAAAAAACAAAAAAAAAACATTAATCAAATGCCTATTGGGCTTCAATTAAAACATATAAATTGGCCATATTTGGCATTTTTTTTTCCTAATGAAGGAACAATTCTATATGGCGAACAATAGTAGTAAATAAAACTCCCTCTGGTCCAATATAAGTGATTTTTTGGCCTTTTTCTTGTGGTCCAAAATAAGTGATTTTTCCAGATTTCAAGAATGAATTAATTATTTTTTCCTACATTGTCCTTGGAGTAAATAGTGTTGGAATATTGATAATAGGTGAATTTGACTATAATCACGCACCAAATAATCACCTTCTTGTGAACTTTTAATGTGAAAAATGACAACAAAATGCTCTTATTAGTGCTTTACATGATTTGCAGGTGAAATAGGTGTAAGGAAGGCTAAGGAGCGGTTTTGGAGTCAACTATTGATGAAAAGAGGCTAATTGTTGAATTTCCAAAGTAACCCATTCAAAACAGGCCAAAATGCCCGGGTACAAGTTCCACCGCGGTTCTACCGCGACCGCGGTGAAACCGCGGTGGAAGGCAGTCTCTGAAGGTTGAAGATTCCGCGAAGGCGTTTGACCGCGGTTCTACCGCGACCGCGGTAGAACCGCGGTGGGTACAGTAAACTTCGGGGACTTAAGTGTAAAACACGGGATTTTTAGACCTAAACCCTATTTAAAACGCTAGACTTCGCCCAAAAGAGGCAGATATTGATTTCTAAGGGTTCTTAGCAAGAAAAACAATTGTGAGAAAGTACTCTAAACATCTTTCTTCTTTTCTTTTGATTTTATGATGAATTCAATCTTAGTTTATTCTCCCATAGTCATGAGTAGCTAAATTCCTTGTCTAAGGCTTTGATGGACCCTATTGAGTGATGAACTTCTTGTTTATGTGAATACAAATTGCTAGTTAAATCTTTATTTGTTCAACTTCGTGTTCGTTGTAGTTAATTGACAGGATCCTCAATTAGCTGTGCCTATTTAGTGTGCATAACTTGGAAAAGAGTGCATATTTAGGGTATTGTTGAACAACACCACTCCTAGATTATTAGAGGAATCTATAATTGCGGGTTTAAAGGCGGGATTAGGAATAACGAAGCCTTGGGTGCAATTTAAATTGAATTGTGCGAATTTAAGCAAGCTAGTGTATCTCGGGAGAGTGCAATAGTAGATTACTGTGATTACTCGGGAGAGATTTGCGGTAAGATTAGCGTTCAAGAGTGATAGAGATGTGTGGGTAAATTTGTATGAGCATAAACAGAAGGGATTTCATCAATAGGGGAAATCATTGCCTTAGCCTTTTTTCATAATTGTTTACAACCCTTCTAATTTAGTTATAGCCTTTTATTTACTTGCAAGTTAGTTATTAAAGAACAGTCAACTGAGATTTGAATATTTGGGAAGCTGGTTCTGAAGACTTGGTGGGTCTGAAGGTAGCAGTTGATAGGTTAACTCTCTGTGGGATTCGACTACGGACTTGTAAACCGGATTATATTTGCAGCGACCGCATTGTCCTTTTATACGGCATAGTTGGGCGTGATCACATGCCTACCAGTTTTTCTGCATCTTAGAAATTATGCGTATAAGTTCTGCATATAGAAATCATGATCTTAGGTTTCTACACATGTGCATCATAGAAATTATGTCTATAAGTCCTGCACTTCCGCATTTTAGAAATTATGCCTGTAAGTTCTGCATATAGAAATAATGATCTTAGGTTTCTGCACTTCTGCATATACATGCCATTAGGCAAACAATCATAGGTTTAATAAATAACCAACTTCACTCTAGATACTATGCCTATAGGACTCTTGCATTTATGTAATCGTTTAAAACCAATTACGCTTAGAAATCATGCCTGTAGGAATAATCAATTGAACCAGCTTCGTCTATTTCTTCCACGAGTCTAAAATCAGTCATAAGGTCGTCAAAATCTGCAGATCTTTCGTTTATATAACCAGCAACCTTTTCCCTAAAATCAGTATGCTCTATTAGATCTCACAGATCTCACT